ATTGAATTCCTTATCCATTACTCAAAACCGGGCTAAGATAATTGATTTCACCAGATTTTATTTCATGGATTCTTCAAAGTTTGTTATGCGAAAGCCACAGCAAGTCAGCAAGGCCTCAGCCATCTCTAAGCCATTCGCCAATCAAGTATGTTATCTTATTTTTCAATTATTAATATAAATTTTACAAATGATCATCAGTTCCATCATTACACATTACACTCAAACCCCTATTAAGTCAAAATTCAAAAGACCAGCAAAGCAAGAAGAGTTGGGGAAGTTTTGAGTTAGGAAATGAGCTTTTGATTTTAGGGAATGAAAGGATAACTTCTGGAAATTGCAATTGGTGATATTCTGTGCCTGAAATTGCTTCTTAAATGAGTTCACAGGATGCTGAACTTGAAAGTAGGAGTTAATTTTCTCAATTCAGTCGTTTGTTTCCATTCAAAATGCAAAAAATTAAATTTCATGGCTTTTATCTACCATTAGTGAATAAAATAGTAGTCATGGCTTTTATCTACCATTAGTGAATAAAATAGTAGTCTAAGAATCTACAGAAAATTCCAGTTAAATGGAGGTTTGAGAAAGGAAGCCTTTGTTTTAACCCTTTGGTGGCACTGTTAGGATTTATCCACAACATTTTTTGCCACAATCAGTAGAAAAAAGGGGAAACAAGAATGAATAAAAGAGCCAAAGTTGGGGAAAATACCATATTTCTTTGCATTTCTGCATAAAAAAAAGTTACTCATGCATTGATTTTTTTCTGCATTCCTGCCATAGGAATAGCACAGAGGGGTTATCAGAACAATGGCTTTCCTTTTTTGGGATTCCTCTTGACTTTGGCCACTCAGCTGGAGCTTTTTTTTGTGACCTTTGGTCAAACTGAAATGTAGAATCCTGCAAAACCATCCCAGCACAACTTTGTGATGCAAAAGGACCCTCCACCGCCCAAGCGTTGAAATGTTTTTAGCATATTGTTTTTTATGGAATTCAGAGAAGGACTTTGAAAACATATGACATTGGGAAGTTTTTGACTTCATGAGTTTTCAGCTGTTGAGGTTCAACTGAATTATTCACAAATGTTCAATATTATTCAAATTACCACTGTATATAGCTGCAGTATTGTTCAGTTCGACTGGTGGAAGATTACATAATGGTAACAAATCTTTCAGGAATCAAATTTCTCAGTGGAAAAGATTTTGCTCATTCGCCAGCCAAAATCCTTTGATCATAAGGTCCAAATGTGGTTCAGGTACTTTTTTGGAGTTCTCAGGAAGGTTCCAAAATTCCGCTAAAATTCAAATATTTGTCTTTTGCCCTCTTCTGTAATTTTGAATTTTTCCTCATGATTGATGAAGCATTACAGCACTGAATTAAATTTTTGTGTTTTTATTTGAATGAGTTAAAAAAAACACCATTGAAACATTTCCATGACTCAGTAACAATTGTCATGTTGGAAATTAAAACCAAAAATCAGAAGAATACTTCTGGTCATGTGGAAACCAAGTACTGTATACTCAAATGGAATGAAAAATTTGTAACCAAAAAATGCTGGAAACCTGAAAAATGTGTCGGCCTCTAATTCCAGCTCCCGAGACTAGTTTGAACAGCGAGGCCCTGATGAGGCATTCTTGAATCTAAATATGCTTATCTCAAATTTTCCTTTAGGTTTCATTTTCAAATTTTGCATTGCAGGTGTGGTTCAGTGTATTGCTTGTCTTTGTCGCGTCTACAATTTCCACACGACTTTTTCTTGCAATCGTCAAAGACCACAGAAAAAAAAAATCCGTGGCTGAGAAATGCTTTGACAATGGGAAAAATACAGAACTGATTATGTTGAAATTACTCATCGGACAAAACGCAGACTTCGAGTTTCCAGACTGGATTGCGTTGAGACTACAATGGCTCACATTTGCCTTTGCTTCCTCTGTTTTGGCAGGTAAGATATGTGACTATGCAGGTGAAATATTATAAGAACAAAGGTCTAGGGAGGAAGAAAAAAATTGTTGTAACTCGAAAGTGCTCATAATAAGGAGATTCGCTTGAATTTCTATTGCAAAAATTGTTTACATCAATATTCCCTTCATAAATCACTTCATAAATTTCTTGAAATTTTCAGTGCAATAATCTAATGGAAGCATCAATCTCAGATCCAGTTTTAATCAAATTTTATATTTTTAAATGATTTATACTTTTTGTTCTGTGCTTCAAATTGAGTGACCACTTTTATTTCAAATAATAAGCCACTGTGTCTTTTAAAATTTGAGAATAAAATGCCTAAACAATTGGTGCTGAATTGCGTGCTTGCTTAAATTCTTGCAGATTAACCCTTGAACGGCAAAGGGTTCTTTCCCATTGCAGGCCAAAATTGGATTATTTTTGTATGCTGGGGCATTTTAAGTTTTCTGAAGGTCAGAAAAGACCTTCCAGGTGGGCTGAGGCAAAGTTGGGATTAATCTGAGAAAATCCCATTGCTTAGCATGGCATTTTTTCATTTTCCCACAAAATTTTTCTGTGCAAAAAGAAAAAAAAACATGGGATTTCTCCCCGACTTTGTCCTCAAATCCCTGATGTCCTTTTTTTTATTATTTGCCCTGAGGTGCAACATAATTTTGTGAAAATAGTCTGACTTCGCAGCCCAAGGGTTAATATATCATGAATATTCATTGACTTTGTGATGGAATATTATTTAATGAAAAATCATGCAACTATGCTATTAATGCAAGCAGTGACATTGGAATCCTCAATTCAGCTTAAATTATTAAACAAATTGATTTGAACAACCAGCTTTTTTTCTGATTTTCAGCATTAACAAGGTTCAAACAACATTCCCACATCCAAACCCCTGCCCCACTCCCTACACGCATTCATCCTAGCACATTCCATCACATCAATTTGTAAAACTGATAAATAAGCTGTACATGGATGGATATTAGCCCTTGGGTGGCAGTGCCAAGATTTATCCACAGAAATTTATTCCACAAGGAGCAGAAAAAAGGGGAAAGAAGAATGTTTAGAAGAGCCAAAGCTGGAGAAAATCCCTAATTTGTTAGCATTCCTGCAGAAAAATTTTCAGGAAAACATAAGAACAAATTTACTGTTGCTGGGTAGGATTTTTTCTGCATTCCTGTTGTATGATTAGCATTGATGGATAAGGGGAACAAATTCTTTTTTTGGGGAATTTTTCCCAACTTTTGCTACTCAGCCAAATCTGCATTTTAGTGACCTTTGGTCAAACCAAAATGCAGAAGCCTGCAAATAAATCCCAGCACCGCTGCGCAATGCAAAAGAACCTGCTGCCACCCAATTGTGAAAAGAAAAGAAAATGCATCCCAAAATGTACAATTGCACAACTGATGTATACACAGTACAACATGCACTTTCTTCCCTTTCCTGATAACAAAATAAAAATACAGTGGCAGAAGGTACTTCATTTTTGCAACAGACTACAGTAGTCTGTTGTGGGAAAAGTCTCTTATGCAAATTCCATTATTAGAAAATTAAAATTTTCACTTTTAAACATCATTTTATACCAACAGAAGTTTGTTACTGTTGGTTATGCAGGAGGGAAAACTGTCACACCAGAGGCAGTTGCGTGTGCAAAAATCTGTTGTGCAGGAGGTCCATTGTGTGGGGGGCGACTGCTGTACTATTATAATAAACATCTAACGAAGAAAGAACACTACACAAAATCAGAATGAACATTAAAACCGGCTCCATGTACCTCTTCAAATCCGCAAATGATTGATACAGTACAACAAAATTACATTAGTTGAAAGCACTTATGATATTCCTGCCTGCAAAATTATATAAATTATATCATTTCAAATTTCAAAGTTATATAAATGTGAGGCAAAATGAAGACTATAAGACGCTTTTTGAGCCTTTGAAAACACACTGATTTTTTTTTAAACAATTTCTTTCTGAAAAACTTTTCCTCACGTTCTAAAAAATATGCACTGTATCTTTTTTTTCCTGATTTGAAATAAGCTGCGTTTGCGGGATCGATTGCGTCAAATTTAATCAGGAAGGATTTCATCCCAATTCCCACGACTTTCGAAGAATTGGCAAAGGCGGAACAAGTTGCGGTCAAAGTTCACAAAAGATTCATTTTCGTCGAACACTTGAACGTAAGGAACAATATGAATTCATCCTTCATCCACATTCTCAAATGAATCTGAAAATCTCTCAAATGTTTCAACTAAAAATACAATTAAATTATGCTGGTGTTCCGGAGAAAAGGGGTTTTAAATGCCCCTTTCTGGTCTCATAATATGACAGTGCCTCATCATTCCAAACTTAGATCATAATGCGATGCACGTGTTCAAGGGTTCTAACAAAAGTTCTCAGAATAGGAATTAAAATGGTACATCATCAAGCTGAAAAAATATTATTCTTTAGGGAAAACATATTCTTTGGCACCAAAAAAATATCAGCCATGTCTGACAATTTTGTTTTAATGTTATGCAAAATTCCCGCAGGCAGAGTTTTTCTTTCCATTCCAAAGATGAGGCGCCCTTTTTGCAGTTTTTTTTTAGCCCAGCTTTCCCTCCAGAATTTTTGAAATCGACATTGGTGGCTGTGAAGGCGGCTATTGATGAAAATGGCGGAATAACCGTGGAACACCTAGAGGCAACCCTTGGAATTAACGCCACATTAATTTTGCAGAACATTAAAAAAATTGTCAAACAGGGCTGATTTTTGTGTGCCAAAGAATATGTTTTCCCTAAAGAATTATTTTTTTCAGCTGTATCATGAACCATTTTCATTTCTATTCTGAGAACTTTAGTTAGAACTCTCGTATTTCATTTCTGGAACAACAACAAAATTATGCATTTACTTTGAACCCAATCCTAGCGATTGGCACATCAATTTATCTCTCAAAAACTTATTCATTTATTGTTAGTAAAATAATCAGTAAAGAGAAAAAAAATCATCAACAGCTGTCTGAATCTGCACATTTGGCCTCACTTTGGAGAAACAGGCTCACGTTAACCCAATCTATGGACACTGAAGCTTCTTTTCTGGCAGCTGCCAGGGAACCAAACACTGCTTACATGGCTAGTGAATTGTTCCTCAAACTAATGCTTGTGCAGCACGGGTTGTCCGAAATGGCCACTTTGAGCAAGGAAGGTGCTTTTTCGCATTTCATCGGAGGTGCTGTGAGGAAGGGTTCGCCTTGGAAACCGGTCATTGACGACTTGTGAGACTTTTTTTTATTCAAAAAAATATATATTATGAAGCAAGAACTAAAGCGTCATTTGTTGAATCACACGAGATGGCCCCACAAGAAACTGTCAGCAAGCAAAATTCCATGGATAATGTCTGGGGCTCTGCGGCCTCTATGGCAAAGAGTTAGGGTTTCACTTTACAAAAGCAAAGTGTAGACAGAATTGGCCATTTGCAGCCAGAGGTTTTCAAATGCCTTGACATAGGTTAATGTTTCTTTCAAACAAGTTTGAATACTAATTCAAACACTAAAAGTGTAGGTCTGTTCTCTTCAGAGTTCAAATGAGGATTTATTCCTTCTTTGGGTGGTTTTGGGCAGGTTCAGGTCCTCTTCAGCAGAAAGTTTGTTCAAGGCTTTCCTTTGATGTGTGACTAATTCTTGTGTGCACAATTTGTGGTATTTATTTTGATGAAGTGGTTGATTCACATGAGTGGAATAAGCCATTTGATAATTATATTCAAGAATGGTCTGCTGGTGGGATTCTGCAGACGTATGTTTTTATCTTTGTGGATATTTTCATGTTTAATAATGGCAAGATCTAATACTAAAATTTGGTGTATCATACACCATGTTGTACAGTTGTAAATAATGTCCTTGGGTGACATTTAGTCATCCCATGTTAAGTGCCATGTCAGCTGGCAAAATCTGGTCAGCCTGTTTTCCTTGAGCAACATCTAGTCATCCTGCAACAGATAAAACTTTAGTTTACATGGAGAAATTATAGTAGATTAGAAAATTAATCTAAAAAACCATGTTTTTCAAGTAAGACTAAAAAGCACAAAAAAATTTAGTAGATTAAAAAATTAATTGTTTTTTAGATTAATTTTTTAATCTACTATGATTATTTTATTCTTTTTAAAAAATATTCTTATAATTATTCTTTTCACAAAAGATTGCATTGTCATCAGTTTCTAAGCTATCCTGAAAGTTTCAGCTTGCTAGCTAGTCGGGAAGTGAGCGAAATTTGAGTTGCAAAATTTGATCCGGACAAACAAACGGACAAGAAAGCAAGTTAATAAAAATGCTTGCTAGCTAGTCGGGAAGTGAGCGAAATTTGAGTTGCAAAATTTGATCCGGACAAACAAACCGACAAGAAAGCGAGTTAATAAAAACGTGTTAAAATAGGGAGGGGGGGGGAGCAGAGGTACCCTCATGCGCTACAAGGTAGAATCTCAGACTTTTAAAATTTCATTAGATGGAATGCTCGTATGGCAACAAAGAATATCCATCATATTCATACATTTCTCTGGGAAGTATAAATTCAAGGAAGACTTTAACTCTGAATATTAATGATGCAGAATAACTTGGAAAAATAAATTCCAAGAATATTGTTGCCAATTGTACCAAGTAAATGCTGTACAATGAACGTAAAAATTACGACCAGCAGAAGGGGACAGATTTTTATCCGTTGTCTACAAAGTTAGGATTGCTTTTACTAGTTAAAAGTATTTTTTTAATTATTGCTTTCTTTGAATCTTTGTGTTGAATTACTGCATGTGGGCTGTGAAATTTTCTGTCCCGATAGGGTTTACGACGGGGGATGTTTTCCTTGTCCTGACGCACTGTCATTGACCAAATTGTTGAAAAATTTATTTATTTTCCTTCCACTCCCGATTTTTATTCAAATTACTGCATATTGTAAAAGAGATCCATGCATGAATGAATCCAAATTGCCATTAAAATCTCATCACACAGATTTTTGTCGATGAAGATTATGGAATTTAATTGTTGGTTGAATTATACTCAATGTTCATCTTTGAATCATCCTTGCTTAGTGTATGTCCGCTGACGTCGGAAAAACTTTTACCCAATTTATCTTTCCGTTGGCACAAAATGTCTGTACATATATAACGTCGTGAAAGCCATTCCATTTCAGCTTTTCCGTTGATGAATATCCATCAATACGATTCAAATTCCCTTCCTCGTTTTTTCCGCAGCTTGTCACGAGTGTCAGCAGCAGGACTGGCAGACAAATGGATGAACATGACCATGGAGATTTCTCGACAAGAGTACTACAAAAAGTTGAGATCGACAGAATCGTCAGCAGTTGACGGGAATAACCTCGACACTTCGTTGACACGTGGCTATGGATTTTCCGAAACGGATTCAGAATTGACAATCGCCATCAAATTGGACCACGTTCGAGTGGTTTTCATTTTCTGGAGTGCGGGTTTGACTTCCGCCTTTGTCTGTTTCTTGCTGGAAATGACGTTTCATCGCGTGAAAAAGCTAATTACTTCTACAAAATAAACAACATGGACTGATTGATTCATCGCTGTATTGATTATATCGCATTTGAAAAGCTAGGCAACGACGAAATGATTGTTAGTTTTAGCCACGCATCGAATACAAATCGCCACTTCTTCTCAGACGCGTTCGTGGATTTATTTTTAGATTCCGGGCCAAAGTAGAGAAGGTTTAATAAATAAAAGAATTGCATTTTCCAAATGTTCAGTGTTTAAAGGCTCAATTCCAAAAAGAAACATTTATACCTGTTTGCTACAAAAAATAGGTCTGATGTTATTCATTTTCCACAAAGCTTCCTTTTCTATGATGAATTACAAAATAAAATCATACGTAATGTTTTTAAACCATCAACCACATTCGTATGAAATGTTATTTTTAATTGTTTGAAATTTTCTTTATAGGTTCAATTATGATTTTTCAAAATTGAAGCTAATGCATTGCACAAAAAGTGCGAGGACGATAAAAAAAAGAGAGAAAATGCATTAGATTTGGCGGCTTTTCTTGCACAAAAAAAAGGAAGAGGCATTCTTAAAAATAAATATTACAGTATGTCATCAAAGGTATCGAGGTTTATTCTTGAAATGGGGTTAAAATTCAATATTATTTTCCCCGCTAATAGCTCCAGGGCATATTCGATGACCAAGTCTCAGTTTCTGGGAAACCGTGTTGCGGCTTTCAGGTTCCAACTCTGCTGGGTATCCGTGTTTCACGGATTAGCAGCTTCATCAGGTTGGTTTCAAGGGCAACCATTTTATCTACAAAAAATATTTAATCAAAATATTCAAAATAAATGCTGCCGAAAAGATATTCCAGGAATGACACCACAACAAATAGAGTCCGACTGCCAACGAAGAATTTTTCAGCGAATCAGAGAGGATTTTGCGCCTAATCTTCTCATTCAAGACAACCCAATTTTCCTCTCGGGTGAGATTCATTTTCCCGATCGATGTCATGCTAGTGTCAATTTCTTTACCGCGACAATAAGTTTTTTTTTTTGCAGGAGAAATCGATTGGCCAATTTTCAGGATCGGATGCAATGCAACTGAAGAAATTGTTCGCTTGTTGACACTGCACAAATTCTCCGGACATCGACGGATTCTCTTACAGTGTTCTGAAGATCAAGGAACGCAAATCCTGAAAGAAGTAAATTTTGCAGCTCATTTTAAAAGGTCAAACTTGAAAAAATAAAGAGGTTAGGTCACTAACAACTCTTGAAAATATTGTGGGATTTTAACAAATGTAATACACCCTTGGGCAATATATTTTTGCCAACTTGAACCTCAAATTGAATTTTTGGGGAAATTATGCACTGAGAATCAAGGAATGCACATCCAGAAAAAAGCAGATTTTGCACATGATTTCAAAAGCTCAAACTTAAATCAAGAGATCAACTCACAAGTAACTGTTCAGTATCTTGAGTGATTTTACCGAATTTCCTCATGCCTCAATGGGCAATGAAATTTGTGTCTATTGAACCCAGAAAATAATTCACCCATGTTGAACCTGCATCACACAGGTGACAGTTGTGCGGTGGTATTGAGATAGGTGTTGGGAATTAAGCAAAACTGATGTTTAATAAAATAAAACTCATGGATTTGGTTGGGCTACATCTGGGGTGAATTCCACCCTATTTTAACATTGGTATATATCAGTTAAACAGAATTAGACACTTCAAAATTTTGCAGGATCTTTGAAACAGCTCACACAAGATTCAGATTTGATATGACAAAAATATGAAAGAGTATGTGTCAGGAAAACTATCCTTCAAGGGAGTCTGCCAGAGATGGCCATCACAAATATATAAAAACAGAATTTCAGTGAAACCAACCTCAGAGGTCAGTTTGCACCACCTCAGGAATTCCAAGGAGCATAGGGTTTTCCACCAAATTCCAGGAATCCCAAATGGTGGGGAAGACAAGTTTGTAGCTTGAAAAACTGGTCTTCCCTCAACCCCATCTCATAAATTTGAAACAATAGCAACACTATAGGGCATTTTTTACAGCTAGGTGACCCCCATGAAAGTCACCCATGTTGCATCCGGAAGAGATGCAGCTCCAGCATCCAGTTGAAACCAGACCCAAAAACTTGTTGTACCTATGAGGCCAGTGAGCCTCCCAAAAATCCCCATTTTTGCCAGACTCACTGAGCCTCACTCAAGGACAAGAAGTGGTGATCACTTCTTTGATTTTGCCTGAATTGGCCAATCCTGAGCCAGAAAGAAATCCCCTGATTTCTTCCTGGCCCAGTCCAATCACCTGGCTATAAAAACCCTCATTCCTCTTTGAGAGGAGAAGTCAGGACCTAGTGTTAAAGGGCCTTTTAACTCAAAATTACCTCATTTAATATTCTGAACTCACCATTTACTCTACCGTTAAAACCATTGAATTAACAGCCAATTGGTGAACTGGGCTATGAGAATGAACTTCTCTGAAAAGAGTTTGAGTTCTTATTCAAAACTTGCATTCTGATGGCTGCACAATTCAATTCATTTGTCTGGTATCCAATGGATCCATGACAACCCATAAATTATTCACCTATGTCACATCATTATTGGGATAGGGCTAGGGGTGACTGTTATGGGTGAAGTGCCCCCCTCCTCCCTTCTGAATACTGCAGAAAAATACCCATATCACAGCTGTATTTTACATGTCTGATACTGGTGCTGTAATTCCTCCTTATTTATTCTTGCTGGGCTACACATACCTGTACAAGGGTTCTAACAAAAGTTCTTGGAGTAGCAATGAAAATGGCCTACAGTTGAGCAAAAAAATTGTTTCTTTTGGAAAAACAAATTCTTTGGCACACAAAAAAATATCACCCTTGTTTGACAAATTTTTGTGAATTTTTTTCATAATTCACCCTGGCAGAGTTTTGCTCTCCACTCAAAAGATGAGGCGTCCTTTTTTTGTTATAGCCCAGCTTTCCATTCAGAATTTTTGAAATCAACTTGGCATTGTTTCTAAGAGGGTTGCTGTAATGCCTCCTTATGTATTCTTGTCCGGCTACCCATACCTGTATATATCCAGACAATCACCCGTATCCAGCAAACTATGGATATGGGCTAACTGTGGGCAATCTCATGCCAGACTTTTACACCTACCAAAATTGTACCTGATTGTTTGCTGGGAAACTTATATTTCATCATGGAAGAATTACTAAAATTATATAATGTTTGCTTTCACACAAAAATACAAACAGGTCTCAAAGCAGCGAGCATCAAGATGGAACCTGAATTGGATCTGGTTATTTCTCGACAAGACACAGGAAACAGACAAATTATTCGTTTCAAATCCAGTTTGGCTCACAGAAAGTTTCCAAATCGCACTTTTTCAGCATTACTTGGAACCCAAAAGTGCAAATTGCTCAGATTTGAGCACAATTTCAGCACACAAACTTGTCCACGAATATGGGCCTTTCCAGAGAGAACCAGTGATTCGTTTGACACATGTGCCCAAGGAAAATTACATTCAAAAGAATGGGAGCATTTTTTACAAAAATTTCTTTCACACTGCTGCGGAATTCGCGAGGGAACAACGAGGAAAAATGAAATTGGCATGTGCCATCATTGATGACTTGATTCCTTGGATGGATGTCAAGATTGATCAGCGGATTGGACAATTAGTTTTCCACACTGGGACTGAAGCTGAAATGCTGGGATTGATATTCAATTATTTGAATTTCACGTGGGTAAAACTTGATGTGACCGTAATATATTTACAATAATTTGATTCATTTTGTTGAAAAATGTTTTGAACATTTTTCATTCCAAACTGTTGTGCACCCCCAGGAAAACCAATTTTCATCTCAAAATATGTAAAAAAAAAAAAAAAAAAGAACATGTGAGTGGGATCTGAATTTAGATTTGTTAAAAGTTGTGCAAAGTGCTCCAGTATAAAAACGTGAAGTGGAACAAGTTGTACAGGAATGTTAAGTTTACACAAAAAGTGGTGCATTATTTTTAATGCAAAGAAAATGTGAGGTGACATGTTCAAAAAGGATTCATAAATTACATGTACTTTCAAGAGAAATTTAAACATTAATGCATGGCTCAAACTACAATAATCATTTTCACTGTGAGGCAGGGAATATAGCAGGAGTATGAAGATACACATGCACCTGTTACAGACAGTCTTCTTGCAATATGCCTGTCTGTTTCAGGAATCACCCATATACAGATATATCCCAGTGTGTGTATTGCAATACAGGTGACTGTAACCCCCTTAATACGGGTTGAATACAGGTGAAATGATGGGCAAATTATTTGCTGGGTTGTTGGGTGTCCCCAAGACCAGCACTCCAACAAAGAATTGGGGTTTCAGAAAAATAAAGACAGTAATGCTCAATTGGCTGTTTGCTGCATGCCTGAAGTGTCAAACTCCTCACAAACTGTTGCTTTCATTGCTCCAATCAAATTCATACAAAAAGCCTGTCTCTGACTGCTGCAAGGTTCAGAGAGTTATGATACAGTATTTGAATCTGGTGATTCTGCTCAGGTTCAGGTCCCTCTCAGTGGAAAGTTTCTCCAAGGCTTTCTGTTGATGAGGGAAGATTCACTTTCCCTGTTTGTAATTCAGTTTAATTCTTTTGATCAATTGGTGATTCACTTGTGTGAAAGATTTTTGTTGTCTAGGATCTAACAGTCAGGGTTTTATTCCAATGCTTTTTCTTTTTTTTTACACTAATTTCTTGGTATTCTTGTTTTGATGTGGTGAATCATATGCCGTTTTTCCAGGTATGGCTTATAACTTTTGGCACAATTGTTCTCACAATCCTGGTGTTTTTGCTATTCAATATTCAACAAAGCAAGTTTATACATTAAATATAGATCACAGCAATGTGGCTCTAACAGTGATATGCCCAGTTGACTAATGGTACATGGCCCATTCCATGGGTGACATCATCAGCTGTAGCTTATCCACAACAAGTCTTTCCAAAATCAAGTTTGTCAAAACCTTCAAAGCTTTTCTCGAAGCTTAGGATTTTTCTGCAAATATTTTATTTTTTATTCTAGATATCGGGGCATGTATAAAATCACCTGATTTTATCCATGGCAGATTTATCTCTGATTCAAAGAAAATCTCCTTATTTCTCTGTCCAATAAAACCTAAAGACTATAAAATCCAAAAACTAGCCCAATTGAAGCACAAAAAAATCTTTCACTGCATCAATGCCGTGATAAAATTCTTAACCTTGATAATGTTCCTCAAAATTGCAATTTGAAATATAAGTGATTATGCTACACTTCGAGTCACAAAACAAATAAATCACACGTTGTCTCAACTTTTTTCCCGCTAGTTTGGAATTGTATTTAGTCCCAAATCAGGAATGGGGCATTCAAATGAAAAATGGATCATTTGATGGCTTGATTGGAGAGCTGTCGGAAAATAGAGCTGATATCGTCGCCAATATTCTTGCTATTTCAAGAGCTCGAATGAAATTCGTGGATTTTACAAAACCTTACATTTTCGAGTACACCACCTTCGTCACTCGGAAGCCGGATGAAATCAGCAAAGCATATGCCATTGCAAAACCCTTTTCCGACCAGGTGAACATTTTCTGGTATTCCTTTTCAAAGTGCTGAACTTCTCATCAAAAGATACCCATTTTCCTTTCTTGGTTGGATTTAAAAGCTTTACAATTTTAAGTTCATTAATATTTCTGAAGCAAGTAAGAGTAAATTCCAGTTGTTCCCCCTTAAAAATATACAAAAAAATATTTTATGAAATTATTAAAAATTCCCTTGAAAAACGCCTGCATAAAAATTTTACCAGCCAAATAAGCAAATACCTTCTATCCTGTTTCAAGGTGAAGCTTTCGCATTTTAAGACTAAATTAGTCAAGTTTGGACCCATGGAAACAGAAAAAAGGGAATTTAAGAAAGATGAGGGCTCAAAATTGTAAGGGTTGCCCAAATTTTCCAATAAAAATGATTGGAACGCGCAATTTTACATAAACAAATTTTCTAAAGTAGGTAAGTTTTAAGGCCTTCTGGTTTTTTTACAATATACGGAACAGATCATACTTAACTTATAGCAAGTTTGTCAAATGTTCTATTCTTGGCCCAAAAATGCAGTTGAAAATGGAGATGAAATGCTGATTCATTTTTCTTCCAGGTGTGGCTTTTAACTTTTGGCACAACTGTCCTCACAATCCTGGTGTTTTTTGCTATTCAATATTTAGCAAAGCGAGTTTATGCAATAAATGTGGATCTCAGCAATGTGGCTCTAACAGTGATCCGTCTATTGATTGGGCAAACGGAAGACTGCAGCTTCCAGATTCCTTGGATATCCTTGAAAACTGTTTGGCTCACCTTTTCAGCAAGTTCTTTCATTTTGGCAGGTCTGTCTCCTTCTCAATTTATTACACATCAAGTTTTTTGTGGACACAATGGTTCCCAAAGAAAGAGAGCATTGCAGTGCAGTGGAAAATAAATATAAATGATCACACAGGACAATCTGCTGCTTTGTGGCCAGGACTATGTAATTAAAGTTTGCATTTTGTCAAATTGTAAAATGCTCAACTTATCACAAGAAAAGTGCCAGAAAATTACTGTGGAACTCAGTGCAATAAATTGTGCAATTGTGCAATAAATTTACTGAAGAAGGAGGAAATATTTTCAACAAGAATTCATCTAAAGGAGCTCACTATTTCATAATGTCATATATGTTGGGGATTTTTTCAACTTTAAAATTAATTAACTTTGCCCAGATGAAAGAAATAACTGAGCTTACAAACAATTATGCAGTTTGTTGGCATTTAGAATTGATGGTGAATTTTTTAGGGTAGATGCACCAGAAAGAAAAAATTTTGGTACCCCTGGGATGTTTGAAAGAGACTCATGCATTTTTCTGTGCAACACTCAACAAGAAAACTTCTATCAGATTAAAAACTTGTGGACAGTTTTGGAATAAAAGACAAGATTTCAATCAAGAAATAAAACAAAACCAAACAAATGGAAAAGCTCCACACATGGTGTAATCATGATTTGCAAAATACCAAAGCTCATATATCCACAAATAATAAAGTAGAAACTTGTTCAACCCCTCAAAAGTTAGATCTCAATGTTTTCTATCTTTTTTGTCTCCACATCCACTTTAAAAGCATGCATGGTTTTTCCTTAAAACGCATTTTTGCAAAATATCTTTTTCAATTGCAAAGCTTTGAATGCGCATGGCGCAACCAACCCCTTTCTTTGTGCCACCTCTATGCAGCATGATTGAAATAAAATAAAATAAGGCTGTGCCTTCTTTCCCTGGTATTCTTGACCTTTTGTGTGACATCCTGTGCTTTAAAGGTAAAAGAGACACAAAATTAAGAAACATTCAATTTTTTCCAATTCTTTGAGCCAGCTAAACAGAAGACTAAAGTAAAATAAAGAAACCTTCTAAATGTATCTTCCGCAACACACATATATATATAGAGTGTTATATATCTAGTTTTCATAAATAGTGTTATATATACTATTTGATACATAATAAAATTCTCAGTTTTAATAAATTGCAGTTGAAAGTGGTGTTATTACCCAAGTTCTTGATTAAAAGAAAATCCAAATATGTTAGTGAACTTTGCAATATTGAATTTCTGAGATTGAACTTATTTTCCAGTATCTTTTTCTCTTTTTGCTTGCGCTGGTCTACACAAAAATACTTATACTTTTCATTGTATCTTGTATCACTTAGAAATGTGAATTTGTTTAATGAATTAAGGTTGAACCTCAGTTGCAAGGAAAAATGCTGCAACAACAGGTTTGTAGAAAAATACCCAACAAATTTTCTTCCGAATTCTAGTTTACATCGCATGAACTCGAAAAACGCCCTCGGACTGATTACAAGTAATGAATTCATATATTCTGTTTCTCATCAAAAATTATGGTATTCCGAAAGTTTTCACCATTTTATTTCATTGAATATCAGCCGCATATTCCGGAGAAATCCAGTCCAACTTGATTCGACCGAAACACGAAATGCAACCAAGGAACCTGGAAGAACTTGTCGCAGCAAAAGATTTCAAGATCACCATTTACCATCGCAACTTGTTCCTCGAAGATCTCAAGGCATGATATTTTTCTTTTTCATTTCCCGCCGGATGAAGGAAAATAATCATGAAAAATAATTTCGGCAGACTTTGAAGCGGAAAGAATATTCATTGCTGTGGGACAGACTTCAAAGCTCGGATCATCGAGGACCAGGGATTTTGACCAACGCACCCAGCAGGGCCGGAGTCATTTCCGCAGTACAAGAGAAGAAAAGAGCGCATATAGTTGGCAAAATTTGCACCGGGATTCTTTTGCAAATGGGACTGGAAGAAATGGCCGTTATGAGCCCAGGGATGAATATGCTGAGTCAGATGATGGGCGTTGCTGTTCGAAAGGGATCTCCACTTTTACCAGTCGTGGATCAAATGTAAGAGAGCATTTATGAAAATTGCATTTAATTAATCATTTTGATACTGAAGCACAATACAGGTCATATCGGGTTTAAAAGGGCTTATTACAAGGAGCCTGGAAATAATTATCTGGCTAAAATCTATGTGAAAATATTACTAAAAAATTCATTTGAAAAATCATTGCTACAAAATTGCATTCTTTTTAAATGTAGATGGACTGTCTCTCAATCTTGTCCATAACGATTTTCTCTTATAATGAATTTTTGTCCCATATATAAGGTTCTCTCTAATCCCCATGCTGAAGGAGTTCTCTAAAACAAAATTATCTCAACAACAAAATATTCTGGTTCCTTAAATTTCTTTGTAGACATAGAGTCAACCTGCCTGTGGAAAATTCTTCCCGACACATTAACATAAAAATCCACTCAAAATAATCCTACTTTTGAAAATATTACTATAGAAATCACTTTTAAAAGATTACAGGAGGTATCTCGCAATTTGATGTCCTGCAATTTGACCATCTTGCAATTTCACAGTTGAATTTGCTGACACATTGACTTGCAATTTTGACCTCAGGCACCACAATTTGATAGCTTTGGAATTTGATGCTTACTCAGCAACTGATTAGGGTCAAATTCCAGGGCACCATCACGTATACTAACAAAATTCATCTTAAATTTATTGCTATAAAAACATAATTTATAAATAGTGTAATAATACTGAAATAAATTTGAAAATATTTTTCAAGGTATGAAAATCCTGTATTTGTTTATAACCATCATATCTGAGCATTAAGAAGTGAAATAACACTATTTTTCTCGCAGGATACAGCAAAAATGCAACTAATGCTGAAGTAGAAGTCCTGAAGCTAAGAAACTGTGTCTAAACAATGTGTTTATTTGGAGTAGAATAGCTAAGAGGCTTTAGTACTGTGTACAGTATGATCATTTTTTCAGTGGGTTTTCAGGGTGATGATCAGGAAATAACTCAAGAAATAGAAAAAACTGTACCTAAAATTTGAAGATGTGATCAGATTTCTAAATAAAATCATGTCAAAAAGGTTTCATCATCTGCTTGATGCATGGTGTGCGTTTCTTCTTTCTTATAAAAAGAGTGCTTGAAAAAACAGTGTTTCCAAAGAAATGAAGGGATGAAAATAGTGATTCAAAAAGATGAAAAGAATTAAAATCTGAATATAGTTTTACTTCCCTTTTTCAGGATCAGCAGGATGTTAGCAGCAGGTTTAATTGACTTCTGGACCAGACGTTCTTTGGCTAAATCCAGACAAGAATATGGCGTCAACAACTTTTCGGGACCAAGCTCAAAAGAAGAAAAGATCATGGCTTTGAAACTGGAACACAATTACGCCGCATTTTTCGTTTTGGGAATTGGAACAGCTTTGTCTTGCTTCGTGTTCCTGAGTGAACGTTTGTTTTTCAAATTGACTGCCCACAAGTGCTGGGAGACCTGAACACGATTCCAACCTATTCGAAAACCACGTTAAATTTGCTTTGATCATGTGCCAGCTGACGCCGTCATAAGAATATAAAAGAATTTTTCGAATATCGAAAATTTGTTATGAAATCATGCTATTCGTCTTCAAAGAAAATTTTTTGATTCCTCTAGCTGATTTTAGTATAATGTCCAAACACAAAGCATGAGCAAAAAAACTGATTTACATCATGCAACAATTCTTCATCAGTATTTTGTACAGTATTTTCAGTGATGGGGTACATTTTTTGATTACAGCTAGGATAATTTGGATTATTCCTATAAAGGCTATTCATTCATGTCCACCTTTTTTCAAAATATGGAACCAAAAAAATTAAAAAAGCTCTTCATTTGGATCACACTTTGAGTTCCAATTTTTTCTTTTGCATTTTATAATACAGTGCATATAACCTCATTCATAAAAGGTACACATGGACTCTCTACAACAACCTTGTCTACACCAATTTTATCTGTGTATAACAAATTTAAATTTGGCCACATAGGGTTCCTTCCCAATGTTATATACTGGTTCTATACAACAAAACTCTCTCTTCAATGCATTACTCTAGTCCCTTGAGTTTTGTTGCAGCAATCCAGTCATCCCAAACATCTTTGTATGCCAGCAGTCACAGAAGCCAGCATGAGGCTGGCACCCAGCAACCTTGCAATGGGATTTGGGAGTTGAGGGACATGCCGCTGCTTAATATTTTCCCACTTCTCAGCCCCACTTCTAAAATTTTTGGAATATGTTCACCTTCTTAACCCTTGGGCGGCGCCGCCAGGATTTATTTGCACAATTTTGTTATACTGGTAAAAGAAAAAAGGAAATACCTAGGATGATCCCAAGAGCCAAAGTTAGGAAAAATCCTAATTTTTTTTTCTGCATAGTGCATATGCATACACATTTTTTTAAATAAAAAATTCATTTCCTGCCAGCTGGTTGCATTTTTTATACATTCCAGCTATAGGATTAGCATAAGGGGGATTTTGGAAGACAATGGTTTTTGCTCTACAGGATTGTTGAAATTCAGCTACTTGGCCAAATAATCTGAGTTTTTGTGACCTTTGGTCAAACCAAAATTCACAAGCATCCAAAAATTTATCAGAACTACCCCAAAATGGAAACTGCTACCACCTGTGCCACATTTATCCCAAAAACAGCTCTGGAGAACAGCAGCTTAGTGGAAGGTGTTGCCTGACAAAAATTTTTTTGGAAAGTTTTTATTGAAATGGTTCTTGTTGTTGTGGGTCAACTAGAGTCACTAGATGTTGCCCAGAGCAAAGGAGATTGCACCGTGAAATGACTAGATGTCACTCACTGTTGCACCACGTTGCTTAGAAGCAACTGGAGTTAACTGGAACCTACAAGAACAAAAGTTACATAAATTTGAATATTCTATGAAGTTATGAAACCTTCATGGAATCATTCCAAAATTGTTATGAAACATCATGAGTAATCCTCATCAAAAGGATTCTCATGAAACACAGGACCCAGCTCCAAGAAACTGGCCTTCAGGTTCATTTCCATTAGAATGGACCTGAACCTGAACCTCAAACTTCATCAGGACCATCATTCCTACTCCTGTTCCTGAAGTGTGCACACAAACATCACTTGGAAAAGGCTTGTTATCTGTGTTGGACATTTTTTATCATTTGGAAATAAATCATCAAAGTTGAGGTTTCTACCTCAGGTCACAAACGGCTGATTGCCTGTGTCATTATTTCACTGTACCTAATTTTGTTGTCTGGAGTCTAAGGACCCCTGACAAAATTGGTGGCCAAATGATGGGCATAATCAAAACCAAACTTGCCCGCTCATTTGGAGACATCCCCTTTACAAACAGAAACACTGTGCATGCTGCTGTAACCTTTGTTGCAAGGGTTATCAACTCAAGACCATTGACCTACATTCCCACTGATAGGAACAATCCAATTGAAATTACACCATCAATGTTTTTAAATTCGCCTCAAGCAGATTATACAATGGATCCAGACTTTGGCCCATATTGTTATGGGCCTAATCCAATCCAGTTCATGGAATTTCCAACAAAGGAAGGACTTACAAGACAAGATAAATTTTGAATTTCGATGTGCACTTTGGAAGTCTTTCTATGACGGATACATCACCACTCTGCAACAATTTCCCATCTGCAAACAAACTGCCAACAACATTCATTTGGAACCAAAGGAGGGACAAATTGTCCTCCTCAAACAAAAAGCATTTTGATATGACATCACCCTAGGATGGCTGAAATGGAAATTATGCAAAATTTTGAAGGTGCACAGAAGTCCACAAGATCAAAAAATCTGATCCATTGATGTTCTAACATCAAGGAAATACCATTAAAATGGTACATCAACACCTCATATCTTGACCAGTCAATCAATTGAAAATCTGGTCTCCCTGGAAATAGAAGACAACACCAACATTACAACACCAGCACCAACAACTACTTAAACAAGTGACCAAAAGACTGCTTTTGAGCATGAAAAGGCACTTTGTTCCACAACTGAGCTCATCATTACAAGAATACAAAACAAAAATGCCACAAACGAGTCATCACCAGCAAGATTTGTCAAAAGATCTTCAACCCATCATCAAGACAAACAACCCATCACAACATAATACTGCCAATTCAAAAAAGGCAACCCATTCTTTCAAGTTTCAACAACCAAAATCACCAACCCTTGGAAACAAACAATGAACAGGGAACCAAACAATGCTTACATGGCTAGTGAATTGTTCCTCAAACTAATGCTTGTGGAGCACGGGTTGTCCCAAAGGGCCACTTTGAGCAAGGAAGGTGCTTTTTCGCATTTCATCGGAGGTGCTGTGAGGAAGGGTTTGCCTTGGAAACCGTCATTGGCCACTTGTGAGACATTTTTTTTTATTCCAAAAAATAGATATTATGAAGCAAGAACTAAAACGTCATTTGCTGAATCACACCAGATGGCGCCACAAGAAACTGCCAGCAAGCAAAATTCCATGGATGATGTCAGGGTCTCTGAGGCCTCTCTGGCAAAAAGTTAGGGTTTCACTTTACAAAAGCAAAAGAAGTGTAGACACAATTGGCCATTTGCAGCCTTAGGATTTCAAATGCCTTGACATGGGTTTGTGTTTCCTTTAAACAAGTTTGAATATAATATTTCACACAGTAAAAGTGCAGGTCTGTTCTCTTCAGAGTTCAAGTGAGGATTTATTGCTTCTTTTGGTGGTTTTGGGCAGATTCAGGTCCTCCTCAGTAGAGAGTTTGTTCAAGGCTTTCCAGTGGGATTAATTCTTGTGTGCACAATTCCTGTTATTTATTTTTATCAAGGGGTTGATTTGCCTGAGTGGAATTAACCCTTTGATCATTATATTCAAGGCTGGTCTGCTGGTGGGATTCTGCAGACATATGTTTTTATCTTTGTGGATATTTCAATGTTTAATAATGGCAAGATCTAATACAACAACATGGTGTACTGTATGATACATTCCACCTGATGTCCTCTGGTCACATCTAGACATCCTGTGTTAAGTGCCATGTCAGCTGGCGACAACATCTGATCTTCCTGTTTTCCTTGGGCAACATCTATAGTTGACCCACAACAGATGAAACTTTAGTTGACATGGAGAAAATAGCTGGGGAGGAGGTACTGTAATATAGTACAAGGTAGAATTTCATACTCTTAAAATGTCATTAAGATGAAATATTGTACTTGTATAGGAAAAAATATCCATCATATACATGCATTTTTCTGGGAAGTATAAATTCAAGGAAGACTGGAACTCCAAATATTAATGATGCAAAATAACTTGGAAAAATAAATTCCAAGAATATTGTAGCCAATTGTCCGAAGTAAATAGGATGAATGTAAAAGACTACCAGCAGAAGGGGACAGATTTTTATCCTTTGCCTATAAAGTTAAAATTGCTTTTAGAAGTCAAAAATATTTTTTTGAATTATTACTTTCCTTTAATCACTGTGTTGAATTACTGAATGTGGACTGAGAAATTTTCAGTCCCAAGAGTTTTTCTGACGAGGATGTTTTCCTAGTCCTAACGCCCCATCATGAACCAAATCGTTGACCAAATTTATTTATTTTCCTTCCACTTGTCGCGAATTTTCTGAGGCACTTCTGCAGAACCAAGCATATCGAATTTAATCGCCAGCCTCAAGCTGACGGAAAGTAATTTTTCATGTCACTTTTCTCAATGTTTCGAACTTAATCTTCAAAGAGAAAACGCCAAATGGCGCCTTTAGAATTGAAAGTCATAAACAGAGACGAGTTTTGGCAATTTGCCAAAACTTGTCCTTGGATCCTTCCGTGAGAATCAGGTTACTCACCCATTCTCACAAGAACCAAAAAAACGGACCTTTAGTCCTTGAAATCTAAAGTTTAAACGTTGAATACCAGCAACTTCCCCCAACGGCGGAAGCTGTAATCTAACCCAAAAATCTCTGTGGAAAACTTCCACAAGAAACCCTTTGTTCCTGAGGAAATGTCTCAGGATTTTGAGTCACTGTCTCTCAAACCATCGTACTGTGCGGAACATACAAAGTACTGGCAAACTTATTTGAAACTGTTGAAAAACTTGTGAACCTTGTGAATACAACTCTTTTTAAAATAGGGTGTTCTCAAGCACCCCGGTTGCAGCCCAACCAATTCCTGTGTTATAATTTTTCTTTCCTTCGTGTACAATATTCTACATTTAAATCTTTGTGACAAAATTGGTAGCAGAGCGTGGTTTCACGTCTCTTTTAAAGGAATTCACTTAAGTTAATTTTCTACAAAAACCAATCAAAAAGTGCTGAATTCTCAACAACAAGTGAGTGGATTACATCAACCCCCCCCCTTTTTCTTTCGCATCAAGTGTTACATTGATCAAGTGGAAAGTGAACATTCAAATTTGAAGAATCAACAACGAATACGGTGATATACCCTGAAAAGGGGGGAAAAAACTTTAAAAAACTCTCGTCAATTGCCATGGCAAGAGGC